GTACTGTTGCAAAAATTACAAGTAAATGGCCGTTCTCTGCTGTGAGTTCTCAAGTGGATTTTTAAAGCACATAAATTTTCATAAGGTTTTCTGCAAATGTGACATATACGGCTTTGTATCTTCGGATCATCTGCTGGAATCTAATTATTCATTGAGTTTTCAATTAAATATTTACAATATATAACAGACGAAACGCATATCTTTAAATGCGAATACTTCATGCCAATTATTTATTTAAAATGTCGTTAATCGATTTTCACGATTTATTTCATTGTAATGTCGGAATTTTACTAAACTATATGTATAGGAAATTATTTTATAAAAATACAGTTTACAAGGTGTTGCTCAGTAATATTGTTAATTTTATTACTGATGTTAGCAATTACGCACAATCGAACAAGTCTTATTGACTCTAAGCTGAATTCAATCTTAATAATATTATTTGTATTATTAACAAAATAACAACATGAAGTAATTTAATAACACCGTAAACAATAAAGAAGACGTTTATGGTGTTCCTACTTTATAAAAACTTGATATTTACTTTACATAAAATCTCTTGAGGATGCTTTCTGTTCACGTGTCGTTCTAAATTCTTTTTCCACTTAAAGCTCCATCCCACAACCTGTGTAATTGCACTTGAATGGTCTTTCATCCGAATGCGATAGCAAGTGCCGTCTTAAATTGGTTTCATCCGAAAAATGACGTTCGCAGATATTGCATTTAAACGGCTTCTCATCTGTGTGAATCCGCATGTGTCTCTGTAAATTTTGTTTTGTTGAAAATGTTTTACCACAAGTCGGGCATTGAGGTTATCCGTCCTTTTAAAAAATTACGTTGAGTAAAAATAAATAATTAGTAAAAATTTAAATCTAAATTAATTATGGTAATATAAATAATTATCACGCATTGAAATATTATGCTAAAATCTGTAATATGTACTCTAGGCACGTTACGAGATTAAAATTGAAGGTATCCTGTCAAAAATTTTTGAAAATCATTGCCAAATTGAAAGTGTTTGACAAAATAAAGGTTTTACTCACCATTTCTATTGTTAATTAATTTAATTTAAATAGTAACTGCTGTAAATTTAGTCTTTTAAATTGAATGTAAACATTTCGGAGAATGAAAACAACAATGCCGAGAAATAATAATTTATAATTTTATTGTTGTTCGAAAGTGCTTAATTAAATGCGCATGATTTGAACACAAGAATACCGTAATTAGAAACACAGAGATATAATTGTATCTTATTCCCGTTTTCTCCTGTGACATTTCGCTGTCACATTTATATTATTAGTCATATTTTCAAATGTATAATAAAAAGTAGTTTTAAAATCATATTTTATGCATTTTGGCATTTCACTCTCTTGACGTAAAAAACGAGTTTTGGTTTATCACTTTTGGATTTTTGTAGACGATCACTTTGAAGTTTTCCCAGGAAGGATATATAAAGACAATCACAATTAGAAAGGCTTTTAACGAAGCCTTAAACGGAAAAATTAGTTGTACAGACTGCATCCTTAAGTGATTTTATCTAAAGTAAATATTACAAGTTCTTATAAAGTAGAAACACCATAAACGTCTTTTTTATTGTTTACGGAGTTATTAAATTACTTCATGTTTGTTATTTTGTTAAAAATACGAATAATATTATCAAAACTTGAAAAGCAATTGTACGATTGTGCGGAATTGCTAATATCAATAATAAAATTAATAATATTACTGAGCAACACCTGTAAGTTGTATTTTTATAAAATGATTTTCTATATACATAATTTAATAGAATTCCGACATCACGATGAAATAAATCGTGAAAATCGATTTATTTCATTTTATTCACAGAATAAAACAATAAATATAAACAATAATTAAAGTTTATAAATGCGCACACTAAGCCATAAAGATATTCATTGTAAACATCTGAAAGGCATATTAATAGGCTAAGTCTATGTAGGCAAAATATATAACAAATAGAAAATAATGACATAGAGACATACAAATTAATATGTATCCTATATTGTTTAATTCATTTCTAATCCTTTTTATTTCATTTACTCGTTAGATTAGTTAAGTAATTATCATCTTGACTTTGATTGAATTTCTTAAAAAAGACGGCTATCTAAGCCCTTATTCTCGGTTTTATATAAAGTCTTAATATCACGTGTTAGGGCGCAAATATATTACCATAACTGGTGTGAGGTCCTGACGTCACAAAGATGTGAAGATCCCAGTGACTATGCTATAAAACCATCCATTAACAAAGTGAGCGAGTTTAGCCGACTCGTCTCCGATTAAGTGGTATACTGTTTAGGCAATAGCCTTTACCAATGGCTTTTCATACTTTCGTGTTGAATGTCTCCATACTGCTCATTGACAGATTGAAGCTAATCGCAGAGTACTAATTCTGTGCATATGTGATTTCTATAAGTCTATAACGTTGACATAATTATGTGTTTATGCAATTAATTTTTGTTTATAGAAAAACAATATGCAAACTTCATATAATTCCGGATTAAATTATTTTTACTTGGTAATTTTCAAAAAGAAAAAGTCTGAAGTTTATGAAAATAATTGAGAATTTATTAATAATTTTTATTTAATTCAAATCACTACAATCTGAATGTTAACTATCGTGTGTAATTTCGTCACTAAAATTTAAACGTCAAACTCATTTGAAATCCACTTACACAGATTACAATCGAAAGAAATACAAAACAATCGTAAACTAAAAAGTATTTTAACGTTTTTAAAGTTAAAAATGTTCCTTAATAATCCTTTTTTATGTGTTCTTGCATTGAAACTTCGTCGTCAAACTGAACTTGACACAAGACACATTGCAATTCATATCGATCGATTCTTAGTTCTGGGAAGAGAATGAAAGATATGGATGGTACCACATCTGTTTCGAAGGTAGTGTCTTTATGAATGTTTTCAAAATTATGTGATCACTTGTCATATTATAAACGATTTCTTTACGTTGTATTTGTGCTTTTTCGAAAACAATTTCTGCACTGTAACACGGATCAAATTCTTTTTTATTCCTCTCATTTAGGGGAAGGTGGTGCAAGATGGGGTCGTGGGGGAAGACGGGGACGTCTGTTTATTTGTGGTTAATGTTCTTTTATCTAGCTATTATTTGGAGAACTAAATGTCTACCTCGAAAGGGATCATGGAGAGAGAGAACGTCCAAATCGCTCTCTTTGTTTGGAAGTAAAATACCTTTTTCATGTTTCAGCAATACTTCATCTAATTTTATGCCTGCTAAAATGTTTCTACAAAGGAAGTATCATTATGAACTTTAACGTCACCTTTTAGATGAAGATATTTTGGTATTCGAAAACTGTAATTGTTTAGTTTTGAAATGAAGTTTACCTGTGTTTGCAGTCAGTATGAAAAGTGTACATTGGGGGGGGGCAAGATGGGATACCTGTCTAGCTTCAGGTTAAACATGAATATGGCCTATGAATTTAGAAGTATTTTCAAAGGCAAACTTTCTTTGCTGCAGAGACGACAAACAGGCCCCTTCAGCAAGGATGGGCCTAACAAGAAACAAAAGACAAATAACACAGAATCCCTCTATTGTGGAAGGTTATACTCTGTATTTACAGAGAGTTAGACTAAATGTAGCCGTTGTGATAAATGGGCACAATGTTCTTGTGCCAATATTGAAGAAAACGGCAGTTTAACCATTTTAATTTGTCCTCCTTGTATATAAAAATAATATCCCATCTTACCCCACGGTGGAGCAAAATGGTGCATTTACATATAATTTTAAAATATTAAATTTCCTTTTTTTAAAAACATTTTTCAAAAATTAAATTTTGTATTATATATTACCAAATATAGTGGCTGAAAATAAAAAAAAAATTATTGTTCTCATTAAAGTCGTTGCCATCTTATGACTTTTCAAACCTTAACGTTCTCATCTTGCCCCACCTTCCCCTATGACGTTTTTAATATTGTCTTTTATATCCTGTAAATATACATTCCATAAAATTTAATATATACTATCCAAACATTCGAATATGTTTTATGAAACCAATTTGGATGTTATGATACAAAAATTTGTAATGCTTTATTTTTGAATGTGTATAACTTTTTGAGTGTCGGTTACTATAAACGTAGTTAGTCATTATATATTCAGTGCCATTCAAACAATTGGCGTGAAAACACTTTGTTACTGGCTGACGAAAAAATATTGGGCTGCAGTTTGAATAAATTACAGATTTATAAATTCCCACTGTCGTTTGTCAGTCCATCTGTTTTCAGTTTTTCTATAATTTCTAGAACGGAGTTAGATAAATGTAAGTCGAGACAAGATATGGAAATCTTAAAAGCAGAAGGCTACGAAAAATGTAATAATTTTATGCATTTAGTTAATAAAATTATGTACAAAGTGTTTTAAAATGTTTTTTATTAGAACATGTTATTTTATTACTTTGGTTTATTTTTATTATCTAACTTGTGTCAAGGTGCCATGGGATCATTTTCTATCCAGACACATTTCAAACTGATTTCTGATGAAAATACTTAATTCTATAAATTCAGTGATGTGTACAGTTCATTTTCTCATTTTAATATTCATAATAATGAACGGAAAAATTTATTTCTTTACATGATTTACGGATTTTATATGTTTCGTGCCATAAAGACCCAAAGTTGCCTTTTTGTATTACATTTAATTGGAGTTTATGCTGTTTATAACAAATAATCTAGAAATAAGTAATAATTAAATGTATGATTATTTAGTTCTTGTAATATGGAAATAGTTGTGTTTTTTTCTGGCGTAATAAATTAATCTCTTAATACAGTATGACGTTTTCATTTCTCTAATATATTTATATATGATCAAGCACTGCCAGACATTCATCACTCAATAATACTTTACTATGAAATTAAAACAGATAAGCATATTCAAGCGAGTAAAATAGAGAGAAAATAAAACTAAAAAAGAAACAAATTACATATAACTCAGAAATAAAACGAGCAGAAGAGTAGCCAGTGTAACGATGGAAATCATTTCGATTGCGCTCCTCACAGCAAAATCATGTGTAAGAGATGTGAAAATATGTAATATTTTTTCCTATGAATAATACAAATATCAATAGAAGGAATATTTTTGAAATTTATTTAAATTTTAAGATGTTTTTGACAATGATTTTAACAATTTTAATGCCATTTAATAAATTTAACAATAATTGTAATATAAGCAGATTGAGAAGAAATCAAATAGAGTGGTGTAAGTCGTGAGAGAGAGAAAAGTGAGAATTTATAGGAATCTGCTAGAGGAATGAAACTCGACGCGGTCAGTCGTAAATACGAGGAAACGGGAAAATATAATAAACTTTTGATAGATAATTTTAATGGAAGGAAAAACGTGGGGAACAGAATCGATAAAATTTTATAATATGAAAACACAATAGCTTTAAAAAAATCTTACAACGAGTTGCGTAACTTTCCCGGTTGTTGCAAGATTTTATTCTAAGAACATCATTTTAATTATTAATAACGTTTAATCTATTACAGACAAAAGAATGCTGATGAGTAAGAAAAAATTCATTGAAGTAATTTTGACGACGGAGACACGCAATAATCGCGAAATTTCGAAAGAGTATAACAGATTGCATTCAGACTCTTACAATCACACACATGCAGCGTGTTGTAATTTCGGCAACTTCTCGCTGATTATATTTTTCTATTGTGAAAATAAATTTAATTAATTCTTCCTTACTCGGAATTCATCTCAAATAATAAGCTGAGATTGATAATAATCATATAGTTATAGATTCATGTTTATACATACTTTCGTATACCAACTTAAGAATATGTACATTTGAGCACTATCTTAACAAGTTTTATTAATTTTTAAAACTTCTTGATTTGGATGTGGAATAATTACAATAAGTAACGACATTACTACTTTTATAGTATTAATCGAATATTTGTAAAAAATTCATTCCTAAAAAATTGTTGTAAACTTACTTTACACTTAGTGTGTGTTTTGTCTTCCGGGTGAAACTTTTTCTGGTGTCTCCTCTTCAATTGAGTTTTTAATGTAAATGATTCGTTGCAAATATTGCATGAATATGGCCGCTCTCCGGTGTGAGTTCTCATTTGTCCTCTGAAAGAATCGGAAGCGGAAAAAACTATTCCGCACATATGACATTTACGTCTTGTGACCTCCAGGTCATCTGGTGATATCTAATTACATAATAATTTAAGAAATAATTATTGGCAATACATTAAAGCNTAGAGATGAGTTTTATAAAGATCTGTAAATGTTAAAAATAACTAAAATCTCTATTAAAGTCAACTTCACGCCAGATATGACACGTGAATTATCCTCTTTCTCTTTGGTGATAAAAGGTCTTGGAGGGAGCTCCAAGACGTTTTCTCACAAAAATTTGATACCAATAATGCCTTTTATACGAAGCTACCGTATAAACTTTCGTGTTGTCATATTAAACGAAATAGACGTCAACACAAACACAGACAACTTCCTTATGCACACACGTCCATGAAATGTTTATAAATCGTTTTTTCACTTTTTTTGTGTTCAAGGGACGTCAAAACGTGGAGATTTCAAATGACGTGCTCGGTAAATTTGACACGATTTCCATACTTTCTCCTGTTTTGTGCACATAACAGCCAGAATAATTAATACAGGAAAGAGGGAAGGGTCAATAAACAATTCCGGGACAAATTATATCCGAACGATCGAATTTCTCGCCTTATATTCTAAGTATTGTTATACCCTCAAACGACCTATCAGTGGACAAGCGGTTCCGTTCCCTGTACACTGGATGGACTGGTATTCTGTCGTATTTTCGGTTTTCTGCATGTTTGTAACGCCTGACAATAGACAGATACCCTTGAAAAGACTTCCCGGAAGGCATCCTACCTACGCACATTCCAAGTGATGCGTTTCAGTAACTTAACAAACAAGCAAACACCTGGAAATACAGTAGTGATTAATTGCGAAGCAAAGCAGAAAAATCTAAACAAATCGCAACCAATTAATCCGCTAAAATCCTATTTAAACTGTGGACTCGAGGACACTGAGATTTTTTTCACAATTGTTTTCATGTACACTGTCGAGCTGCCTTCTTCCGTAACTGCGTGAAGATAACGCAAGTTCTAACTTTTTATACTGTTCTAGTGTTCTCCAGCTTCTCGGCTAAGACCACCCAAATCTTTCAGCAGCTTTCCTCACCCGGAGGTACGTCGAGAAATATCATACATATCTCGACGTACAGACATTTTTCATATCATTTCGGACAATTATTGTAAGCTTCTTCTTGTTTATAATAAATGTTTCGTTGCCCACACTACTACATATTTACCCACATCATTCATTTACCCTGAATGGGGGACGAATTATCTAACCATAGCCTTTAATTTGTAAGGCGACACATTCACTTAATGTAACCAAACATTAATTTTAGGTGTTAATAACGTGTTGTATATACAAAGTGTGTCTCATAAGTTTAAGTACAGAGAAATTATGTTGAGTATTGATTATTTTCTTAGAAATAAAAGCGTGGTCCTGAGTGAGGAAGAATTAACTAACGTTATTTTCATGGGAAACACACACGCTAACACAGAGACGACGATACTACAACGAAAGTAAATGGCTCTTGTTTAAAATATTTTAGTACAAATGAAGTTTTGTCAATAAAAACATTGAATTTCTGAACTAAATTGTATTCAATAATTTCAAATTTGAAGAATTAATTATAATCTCTCGTCTTAGATACGCGAAAAGACACAGAAACATTATGGTACAGACCACTTATCGAATGGCCCATAGTTCATTGAAAAAATGCTCAGTCTGAGCGTATTAATGGCTGTTATTAGACGAAGATTCAAAATGATTTTATATTTTTAACCAGGAATTATCCTGTTAATTACGAAGAAACTTATTTACTCGGATTATCGAATTAAACAAATACACGTGTGTAAAATATGTGCGATAAATAAATATTGGAACAATGCGTGTTAGTTAAAAGGGTGAAGTTATTGATATTTTTTCATTCTAATTGTCGGTTATGAGTTCACTCATCAACACATTTATAAACTTACCTGGGAGCAAGATGGACTTTCCTCTCCTGCATGAAAATTTCTGATGTGTCTGTGTAAGTTATGTTTGTACATGAATCTACCGTTGGAAAAATTACAAGTAATTGGCCGTTCTGTGCTGTGAGTTCTCAAGTGGATTTTTAAAGCAGATAAATTTTTATAAGGTTTTCTGCAAATGTGACATATACGGCTTTGTATCTTCTGGTCATCTGCTGGAATCTAATCATTCATTGAGTTTTCAATTAAATATTTACAATATATAACACACGAAACGTACCTCTTTAAGTGAAAATACTTCATGTCAATTATTTATTTAAAAAAGTCGTGAATCGACTTTGACGATTTATTTCATTGTCGGAATTTTATTAAACTGTATGTATAGGAAATTATTTTATAAAAATACAGCTTACAAGGTGTTGTTAAGTAATATTATTGTTTTTATTATTGATATTAGCAATTACGCACAGTCGTACAGGTCTTATCGACCGTAATCTAAATTCAATCTTAATAATATTATTCGTATTTTTAACAAAATAACAACATGAAGTAATTTAATAACGCCGTAAACAATAAAGGAGACGTTAATGGTGTTTCTACTTCATAAGAACTTGTAATATTTACTTTAGATAAAATCTGTTGAGGATGCTTTCTGTACACGTGTCGATCTAAATTATTTTTCCATTTAAAGCTCCATCCACAACCTGTATAATTGCACTTGAATGGTCTTTCATCCGAATGCGATATCAAGTGCTGTCTTAAATTGCTTTCATCCGAAAAAGGACTTTCGCAGATATTGCATTTAAACGGCTTCTCATTTGTGTGAATCCGCATGTGTCTCCGTAAATTCTGTTTTGTCGAAAATGTTCTACCGCAAGTCGGGCATTGAGGTTTTCCGTCCTTTTAAAAAATTACATTGAGTAAAAATAAATAATTAGTAAAAATTTAAATCTAAATTGATTATGGTAATATAAATATTTATCACGCATTGAAAATTATGCTAAAATCTGTAATATGTACTCTAGGCACGATACGAGATTAAGATTGAAGGTATCCTGTCAAAAATTTTTGAAAATCATTGCCAAATTAAAAGTATTTGACAAAATAAAGGTTTTACTCACCATTTCTGATGTTAATTAATTTAATTTAAATAGTAACTGCTGTAAATTTAGTGTAGTAAATTGAATGTAAACATTTCGGAGAATGAAGACAACAATGCCGAGAAATAATAATTTATAATTTTATTGTTGTTCGAAAGTGATTAAATGCGCATGATTTGAACACAAGAATACTGTAATTAGAAACACAGAAATATAATTGCATCTTATTCTTGTTCTCTCCTGTGTCTTTTGGCTGATTTAAGACATTTCGCCGTCACATTTATATTATTACTCATATTTTCAAATGTATAATAAAAAGTAGTTTTAAAACCGTATTTTATGCATTTTGGCATTTCACTCTCTTGACGTAGAAAACGAGTTTTGGTTTATCACTTTTGGATTTTTGTAGACGATCACTGTGAAGTTTTCCCGGGAAGGATATGTAAAGACAATCACAATTAGAAAGGCTTTTAACAAAGCCTTAAACGGAAAAATTAGTTGTACAGACTGCATCCTTAAGTGATTTTATTTAAAGTAAATATTACAAGTTCTTATAAAGTAGAAACACCATAAACGTCTTTTTTATTGTTTACGGTGTTATTAAATTACTTAATGTTCGTTATTTTGTTAAAAATACGAATAATATTATCAAAACTTGAAAAGCAGTTGTACGATTGTGCGGAATTGCTAATATTAATAATAAAATTAATAATATTACTGAGCAACACCTGTAAGTTGTATTTTGATAAAATGATTTTCTATATACATAATTTAATAGAATTCCGACATCACAATGAAATAAATCGTGAAAATCGATTTATTTCATTTTATTCACAGAATAAAACAATAAATATAAACAATAATTTAAAGTTTATAAATGCGCACACTAAGCCATAAAGATATTCATTGTAAACATCTGAAAGGCATATTAATAGGCTAAGTCTATGTAGGCAAAATATATAACAAATAGAAAACAAGGACATAGAGACATACAAATTAATATGTATCCTATATTGTTTAATTCATTTCTAATCCTTTTTATTTCATTTACTCGTTAGATTAGTTAAGTAATTATCATCTTGACTTTGATTGAATTTCTTAAAAAAGACGGCTATCTAAGCCCTTATTCTCGGTTTTATATAAAGTCTTAATATCACGTGTTAGGGCGCAAATATATTACCATAACTGGTGTGAGGTCCTGACGTCACAAAGATGTGAAGATCCCAGTGACTATGCTATAAAACCATCCATTAACAAAGTGAGCGAGTTTAGCCGACTCGTCTCCGATTAAGTGGTATACTGTTTAGGCAATAGCCTTTACCAATGGCTTTTCATACTTTCGTGTTGAATGTCTCCATACTGCTCATTGACAGATTGAAGCTAATCGCAGAGTACTAATTCTGTGCATATGTGATTTCTATAAGTCTATAACGTTGACATAATTATGTGTTTATGCAATTAATTTTTGTTTATAGAAAAACAATATGCAAACTTCATATAATTCCGGATTAAATTATTTTTACTTGGTAATTTTCAAAAAGAAAAAGTCTGAAGTTTATGAAAATAATTGAGAATTTATTAATAATTTTTATTTAATTCAAATCACTACAATCTGAATGTTAACTATCGTGTGTAATTTCGTCACTAAAATTTAAACGTCAAACTCATTTGAAATCCACTTACACAGATTACAATCGAAAGAAATACAAAACAATCGTAAACTAAAAAGTATTTTAACGTTTTTAAAGTTAAAAATGTTCCTTAATAATCCTTTTTTATGTGTTCTTGCATTGAAACTTCGTCGTCAAACTGAACTTGACACAAGACACATTGCAATTCATATCGATCGATTCTTAGTTCTGGGAAGAGAATGAAAGATATGGATGGTACCACATCTGTTTCGAAGGTAGTGTCTTTATGAATGTTTTCAAAATTATGTGATCACTTGTCATATTATAAACGATTTCTTTACGTTGTATTTGTGCTTTTTCGAAAACAATTTCTGCACTGTAACACGGATCAAATTCTTTTTTATTCCTCTCATTTAGGGGAAGGTGGTGCAAGATGGGGTCGTGGGGGAAGACGGGGACGTCTGTTTATTTGTGGTTAATGTTCTTTTATCTAGCTATTATTTGGAGAACTAAATGTCTACCTCGAAAGGGATCATGGAGAGAGAGAACGTCCAAATCGCTCTCTTTGTTTGGAAGTAAAATACCTTTTTCATGTTTCAGCAATACTTCATCTAATTTTATGCCTGCTAAAATGTTTCTACAAAGGAAGTATCATTATGAACTTTAACGTCACCTTTTAGATGAAGATATTTTGGTATTCGAAAACTGTAATTGTTTAGTTTTGAAATGAAGTTTACCTGTGTTTGCAGTCAGTATGAAAAGTGTACATTGGGGGGGGGCAAGATGGGATACCTGTCTAGCTTCAGGTTAAACATGAATATGGCCTATGAATTTAGAAGTATTTTCAAAGGCAAACTTTCTTTGCTGCAGAGACGACAAACAGGCCCCTTCAGCAAGGATGGGCCTAACAAGAAACAAAAGACAAATAACACAGAATCCCTCTATTGTGGAAGGTTATACTCTGTATTTACAGAGAGTTAGACTAAATGTAGCCGTTGTGATAAATGGGCACAATGTTCTTGTGCCAATATTGAAGAAAACGGCAGTTTAACCATTTTAATTTGTCCTCCTTGTATATAAAAATAATATCCCATCTTACCCCACGGTGGAGCAAAATGGTGCATTTACATATAATTTTAAAATATTAAATTTCCTTTTTTTAAAAACATTTTTCAAAAATTAAATTTTGTATTATATATTACCAAATATAGTGGCTGAAAATAAAAAAAAAATTATTGTTCTCATTAAAGTCGTTGCCATCTTATGACTTTTCAAACCTTAACGTTCTCATCTTGCCCCACCTTCCCCTATGACGTTTTTAATATTGTCTTTTATATCCTGTAAATATACATTCCATAAAATTTAATATATACTATCCAAACATTCGAATATGTTTTATGAAACCAATTTGGATGTTATGATACAAAAATTTGTAATGCTTTATTTTTGAATGTGTATAACTTTTTGAGTGTCGGTTACTATAAACGTAGTTAGTCATTATATATTCAGTGCCATTCAAACAATTGGCGTGAAAACACTTTGTTACTGGCTGACGAAAAAATATTGGGCTGCAGTTTGAATAAATTACAGATTTATAAATTCCCACTGTCGTTTGTCAGTCCATCTATTTACGGTCTTTCTATAATTTCTAGAACGGAGTTAGATAAATGTAAGTCGAGACAAGATATGGAAATCTTAAAAGCAGAAGGCTACGAAAAATGTAATAATTTTATGCATTTAGTTAATAAAATTATGTACAAAGTGTTTTAAAATGTTTTTTATTAGAACATGTTATTTTATTACTTTGGTTTATTTTTATTATCTAACTTGTGTCAAGGTGCCATGGGATCATTTTCTATCCAGACACATTTCAAACTGATTTCTGATGAAAATACTTAATTCTATAAATTCAGTGATGTGTACAGTTCATTTTCTCATTTTAATATTCATAATAATGAACGGAAAAATTTATTTCTTTACATGATTTACGGATTTTATATGTTTCGTGCCATAAAGACCCAAAGTTGCCTTTTTGTATTACATTTAATTGGAGTTTATGCTGTTTATAACAAATAATCTAGAAATAAGTAATAATTAAATGTATGATTATTTAGTTCTTGTAATATGGAAATAGTTGTGTTTTTTTCTGGCGTAATAAATTAATCTCTTAATACAGTATGACGTTTTCATTTCTCTAATATATTTATATATGATCAAGCACTGCCAGACATTCATCACTCAATAATACTTTACTGTGAAATTAAAACAGATAAGCATATTGAAGCGAGTAAAATAGAGAGAAAATAAAACTAAAAAAGAAACAAATTACATATAACTCAGAAATAAAACGAGCAGAAGAGTAGCCAGTGTAACGATGGAAATCATTTCGATTGCGCTCCTCACAGCAAAATCATGTGTAAGAGATGTGAAAATATGTAATATTTTTTCCTATGAATAATACAAATATCAATAGAAGGAATATTTTTGAAATTTATTTAAATTTTAAGATGTTTTTGACAATGATTTTAACAATTTTAATGCCATTTAATAAATTTAACAATAATTGTAATATAAGCAGATTGAGAAGAAATCAAATAGAGTGGTGTAAGTCACGAGAGAGAGAAAAGTGAGAATTTATAGGAATCTGCTAGAGGAATGAAACTCGACGCGGTCAGTCGTAAATACGAGGAAACGGGAAAATATAATAAACTTTTGATAGATAATTTTAATGGAAGGAAAAACGTGGGGAACAGAATCGATAAAATTTTATAATATGAAAACACAATAGCTTTAAAAAAATCTTACAACGAGTTGCGTAACTTTCCCGGTTGTTGCAAGATTTTATTCTAAGAACATCATTTTAATTATTAATAACGTTTAATCTATTACAGACAAAAGAATGCTGATGAGTAAGAAAAAATTCATTGAAGTAATTTTGACGACGGAGACACGCAATAATCGCGAAATTTCGAAAGAGTATAACAGATTGCATTCAGACTCTTACAATCACACACATGCAGCGTGTTGTAATTTCGGCAACTTCTCGCTGATTATATTTTTCTATTGTGAAAATAAATTCAATTAATTCTTCCTTACTCGGAATTCATCTCAAATAATAAGCTGAGATTGATAATAATCATATAGTTATAGATTCATGTTTATACATACTTTCGTATACCAACTTAAAAATATGTACATTTGAGCACTATCTTAACAAGTTTTATTAATTTTTAAAACTTCTTGATTTGGATGTGGAATAATTACAATAAGTAACGACATTACTACTTTTATAGTATTAATCGAATATTTGTAAAAAATTCATTCCTAAAAAATTGTTGTAAACTTACTTTACACTTAGTGTGTGTTTTGTCTTCCGGGTGAAACTTTTTCTGGTGTCTCCTCTTCAATTGAGTTTTTAATGTAAATGATTCGTTGCAAATATTGCATGAATATGGCCGCTCTCCGGTGTGAGTTCTCATTTGTCCTCTGAAAGAATCGGAAGCGGAAAAAACTATTCCGCACATATGAC